AGATGGAGGTGTCTGAGAGGTTTGGAAGCCTGCCTGCCCCTGGCCCCTTTTATACCCTGCTGAATGGTTGCCCTCATCATTGGCAGCCCTCTTTCCTTGTTATTGTTTGTGTTAATAATTAGGCAGTTATCACATTAGGCAAGTGTTTTTTCCTTGTTAAGTTTTCAAGGTGATGGGAAATAGAATTTCCTCTTCCTGCTGCTTGTAGGATTCATTCACCAAGTCTCCTGATCTTCCTGCTAGGTATCTCTGTAACTTTAGTGTCAGCAAAGGCAGCTGTCTCATGACAGTCTCCCCTTGGTGGGATGTACTGTCTCCTTTTTCCTAGCACATCTGTGTGCCCTTGGGAAACAGCGTCTCCTGCAGGCCTGGAATTCTTTCTCAGACTGTATTTTCCTCTGGTGACTCCTTCCTTATGGGTCAGGTGGGCAAAGGTTTGCGTGTAACGCACAGACCCTCGGTGAGATGTGACCACAAGGGCATGTGCCCTCCTTCAGTGAACTCCTGAAGGTATGAAGCTAAGTGGTGGGGGAGTTTTTTGCTCATTCCCCCCTCAAACAGTCCTCTAGCCTGCATTTAGGGCCTCATTTGTGTGTGGGAAGGAACTGCAGAGATCCCCTGTACCATGGGGCTCAGGCCCCTCAACTCCCCACTGTGTCGAGAAGGGTTTCCTTGTGCCTTCCACAGCCAGTCTTTCTGGCTTTAACAAGCCCTGTTGACTCAAGCGCTCCCTCTAAGATTCAGCTGACCCGAGTTGACTAAGAGTCTTGCTACCTTGCTGTAACTCGCATCCTGCCGTCTCACTCCGCTCAGTTGCTGGGCTCTCAAGAAGCAATGCACACTCTCTTTCAGCATGATTCAAGTCACTGGTTTGGATCTAGGTTCTGTTGTTTGGACCTGAAGGGTCCCCCAGAACTTTCATGCTGGCACAGCTGAGTCTTTGGGAGGGTGGTTGGGTTAGGAGCACCATACTCCTCCACGGATTCTTCCAGGGGTGAGTTCAAGGGCCGAGTGTTCTTTTAGGAGGCAGGTCCTGGTTGGAGGCAGGTCACTGGGAGCGTGACCTGGAAGGGTTCGTGTCCCCCACCACCACTCCTTCCTTCTCCCTCCGCTTCCTGGCTGCCATGACAAGAGCAGCCTCCCTCCCCGATCCTTTCACCATTCTACTTCTGCGTTGGAGCCAAGCAGGCATGGACGGAAAACCTGAATCTAACACAGCTCTCCTTGCAGTCGCGGGTGCCGGGCATTTTGTCCAGCAATGAGAACGGTGACAAAGAGCCCTTTCATTTTCAAAGTGCACAAAAAGAAACCAAAGAAAATCCAGGAGAGAAATGAAGAAAGACAACAACAGAAATCTAGCTCAAAGGTATCAGCTTACACTTCCCCATGGTGGGGATGGAGTAAAATCTTAAACATGCGTCCGATGGGCTCCCTGGTGCCTGCTGCTTCCACGGGAGGAATCCTGCCACTTGGTTCCCCTGAGCGTCCAAAACAAGCCGAGACCAGTTGGCACGGATGGTGCCCTCCTTATATGTCTTCGTAACACTATTTAGAGACCTAGGCCTTCACCATATTCTTATCATGCTAGGTTGCTTGGCCAACACCTGATTTTCTTGCTTTTAGTTTATGTGAGTATCTGTAAACTGGACAGCATGAAAGAGTAAACTATTCTATGTGGTTGGCAGTGGGGTGGGGGGATATTGTCACTGGATTTGCTGTACAAGAGAGACAGGAGATGAAGCAGACACAGATGAAAGACTGTTGAAGTGTTGGGGGAGAGTTTTCTATATAAATATAGGGACATTAAGAAAGCCCTTTAACCAAAGCTACAAAGGCAAAGTGCATTCTCCTTATGGACTAATGCACAGAGCTGGGATGGCGAACCTTTCAGAGAAGCGTACCCAAACTGCAACCCCAAACCACTTATTTATCACAAAATGCCAACACTGCAATTAAACCCGAATACTGCGGTTTTAGTTTAGAAAAAAAAAAAAAACTCCTACATTAACATCTCTTATCATAAAAGAAAAACACAATATCAGAGCTTTTGATAACACAAGCAGCTTTTTATTGAAAGGTCAAAGTTTACATTTGGCAAAGTTTTGCACAAATCATGTGATCTTTGCTGTTGTGTGCATGCTGGTCATTTGTCAAATCTTTTTTTTATTTTAAAAAGTATAAAAAATTTTTTAGAAAAACATTAAAAACGATACAGAATTTCAAAACAAGATGATAGGACATTAACAATGGTTGTTATATTGTATATGGTTATCTTCAAAGTAGTTGCTCAGATTACCACATATGGGCATGCAAAACTGATCAAACAATTCAGCATGAACTGTTCCTTTCAATAAACCAATAGAAGTTAGTAGTGCAATTATCTTAGCTGTCTTGTGTGTATATATATATATATACATATATATATATATATATATATATGGTTTTTAAAAATTTTTTTTTCCTCTTCTTTCTTTCTTTTCTCTTTTCCCTCTCATTTGTCAAATCTTGCCTGGGGCAATTTGGCTCAAGTGCTGACAGAGAGCTCTGCATGCCCACTGCGGTGCTTGGGCAGTGCCACAAACGGCCAGTGCCGACTGCTACCTAGAACAATTCTGATTTAGTGAGTGTGGTACAGGGCCCGGGCCAGAAGGTTTTACTGGTTCTCAGGTCACCATAATGGGCAGCAAACATTGAGAGCCATCTCCGTAAACTGTCCTTATTATGCACACCACATTAATTTCAGTTGAATACAGAAGGCAATGAATAATTAAAATCTAATGGATGTTATCTAAGTAATAGAGAAAGTGATCCTGAATTGGAATTACTCAATCTGCACAGTAAAACATTGATAATCCTCTTTACCATTTTAGATCACTCTAACACCAAAAGCAACGGTCCCCCGCAGATGAAAAAGCACACCCAGGGCAGGAAGCAAAGTGGGAAATTACTGTGAATACTGCTCTGGATTTCCTAAAGAGGAAACTCCAAGCCGGGAGAGATATAGCATTCCATGTTCTCCTCACTAAATTCCACTCAAAGTCTACAGAATGAGAATTGATGATTAGCGTCTGGACTAGTCAACCTAAACTGTCTTTCTTTTATGACATAGAGTAACAGATGGGTTGTAATTTTTGTGCCTTATTTTCTTTTTGAAATGCTTTTCTTTCTTTTTAGAATGCTGGCAGACAGAGAAATCAGGCAGGTAAACACCAAGGAAATTTGATGGATGGCGTCCAGTAAACACTTGCAAATACCATTCAGGATCTGAGTTACACCTACCAGGACCTTGGACACATCATAATAGTATATTCTTCAAAGAACAGCATGCAGGAGACTTTTATTGTCTGGTATCACATATTATGCATAATCATTTTTTAAAAAATATTTGATATCTATTTTGTCTGGAGCTAACATATATTACCATAAGGTAAATTATAGTGCTTTGGATATAAGAACATGATCTAAGTAGTGATACCTACAATAGCCATAGCTAATTGGTAGAAAAATTAACAAGTTTTGTTTCAACTAAATTATTTCACAATAAAAATTAAGCACTTTAAATATATGAGAGTGTATACTGAATAATATGATATCTTGATATGATATGGGGTATGATATAAGGACAATATTTAAAGTAATAGAAATGTCCATCTCCTGTTGCTGGAATTTCTCATTTATCTTGAAATATTCTCATTCATTGCTTATTTAAATTATTCTGTAGTCTTTGAGAAAATATTTCAGTTCACCTGGATATTTTAAAACTATTTGTTATTATGAAAAACATGTATACAGTGAAACTTGTGTAAAATATACAGATATTAATAAATATAATTGCTTCATTCCCTGTGCTTCCACAACCACTTGAAACCAAGCCCGGGTCAGCATTCAGTGACTGCGTGGCACATGATGGACTGTCCTCTCACTGGCCAGCTGTCTTGCACAGCTCTCCCTCTGTACTGTTGCAAGGGCCCTGAGCGGTGGCGAAAGGTCCATGTGGCACAGCTGGTTCCACCCCCGTTCCTCATCCGTCAAGATGCCTGGGCTCTCATTCCAGTGAGGTCAGGAACCTGATACTCTCAGCAGCCCCAATGTGAACTTGAGCCCGGATCCCTCAGGGGTGACCCGCTGCCCGCCCACACTCTGATGAAGCTCCGTGGAAGCCCAGGAAGCCCAGAGTGCAGCCAGCTGTTTTGGGTCCCTGACTCACAAAAATGGTGACATAGTGCATGTATGTTGTTGTAAGCCGACAAATTCTGAAGCAATTACATAAAAGTAGACAAGTCCACAATTATCATGGGGTGAAAAACCCACAGAAGAGGAAGAAAGAAGCAAAGTGTACAGACAGGTGAATATGCTGGATTGTACCTTGTCACAAGACCTAACACTCAGGTGTTGCAGGAGATGCTCTGTTCACCAAGGTGACAGAAAGGTCCAGAAAAAGGGGCCACCAGCGTCACTGATAATTTCAGTAGTTCCTTTCCCCATAAATGGTAGAAAATACT